ATCCGCAAGCATTATAATCAATGTGTGTGATTCCACAGAATCCATCCAGCTCTGCACTGAGCATCAATTCAGTGCAGCGCAGCACGAGCAGCAGAGGAAGTTGTATGCTGTTACAGAGTAAAACATCCTGTTAATTTTCAAAATAAAATAAAAAAGGTTGAACTGTTCTTAGTTTTAATAAAAGGAGAGGGTTGTGGGATGTTGGTGTTTATTTACACAGATCAGCGGATCTCATTCTATGACTCCCGGAGAAACATGCAAGATCTTGTGAGATCTCGTTCAGTCTCGCGAGAAATATCGGTAATCTCCCCTGCACTTCTCCTCCGATGGCTGCGGCCGATCGGATCTGGTGGGTGCTGTAAGCTTGTGGATCTGATCTGCCTGCCGGCCGGTCCGGTGCAGAACCGTTCCGGATCCTGTGGGTTTAGCCAGTTATACTGCAGATGTTTTTCTTATTCCTCTTCCGGTCAAATATCAGCTACTGGTCCTACAGCTTCAAGAGTTTAGGGCAAATTTCCAAACATGAGTTTGATTGGGATTGATGTGACATTGCTATTTCCTATAATATATGAATTTAAAACAGTGGGAAAATTTTGCATTTGAGTCGATGGGACCAGCCAAAAAAAGAGCAATTATTCAAGTTTTTTAAAACTCTTACAAAAAACAAGAATGGCAGTCGATGTTTTTACGCCCTGTTGTCTCATGATAACAACTTATAACCTCTTTCTCTGGATACAACGAAATTTATTTTCCTGTAATAACGACGTATCTTCTTATCTCAACAGAACAAAGTTCGTTTTCTCGTTTAAACAGTTTTTTTCATTACCTCAACATAACAAAGATCGTTTTTCTGTTATAACAAATTAAATTATGTGTCTGCAGAGACAACTATGTCCTGGACTTACACACTTACACACAAGCACCATCTGTAGTTATGCACCTCTAATAAGAACATGGGTTAGACGTCTCTGCCCAGCTCTCCTGACTGTTTCTGTCCTCTCTGCTTAGTAACTGTTTTTAAAGTATTTTAATGACTCACACAAACACATGCTAAATGCTGATGGATTCCTTCTTTTATCACTTTTTCTCTCTCTCTCTCTCACAGTCTGTCTCCTAAGTCTGCTTCACTCTTCATGTTCTAAAATCAAGTTATGACTCCAGAGTTCCTTGGCAGAGTTTTAGGTAACCATGGAAACCCTGGTCCGGGCAGCTGCTTAGATTCATGTTTACCAAGACAGAGTCAGAGGTCAGAAACAGCAACTGTGATTTTTTAACCATTCTGCGATTCTATGTATCTGAATTGGTAGTCTCTAAAAAAAAGAATAACTTCTGCCTGTTATTTTTGACATTGTAGGAGACTTATGATTTCAGTTCTTATGTATTAAAATACATTTAAAAAATAATCAGTTCTTTTGTGTTTCTCACTTAATCCTTTTGTAGAAACATGTTTGTGAAACATGTAAATAAGTATTTGAACAGGCCAGACTGAGGTGACAGGGTCAGACAGGTTAATGCATGGGCCCATATATCTTCCTATTATAGTCCAAAGAGCACTTTCTGCATTCAACCACAAAGACATAGTGACATTTTTCAACCCCCCCAAAGTTCACGGTCAAAACCTCCTCTTCCAGTCCTCCTGTGGACCTGACTTACGCCGCGCCGACAAGGCGTGCCAAAGCACATTTTTAAAATTTTGGTGAGCGGCGCAGCCTGGCGTAAACAATCCCCCCTCCCTAACTCAGCTCCTCCCAGTGGCGTAAGTCGTAGAGAAGGCGTGGAGTGGGTTTAACACAGCCGAGACCTGTTTTCACCAATCACATCAGCTCCTTTCCTCACCTTTAAATCCGCCACCGGCGAGGCGTATTACTATTTTCTGTGGGCTGACCCACAGGGTCAGGTGATGTTGTGAACAATTAGCTTTAAGACGAACCACCTTTGAACCACACTGTCACCAATCAAACTTCGATTGAATAGATCCCTAAGCGGTCTCAAAATGGGAATCAATCAAATCAAATACTTCTTCACATATAGTAGAGGCTCAACAGTCACTGAATATTACTGATCCTGTTTGGAATACGGAGCAGATCCGTGACGCTGACGAAACGCAGTCAATATGAATCCTGTATTTTTCGTCTTTAAACTCTCCCTGCCTCACACAGATGGAAACAGAGAGGTGGAGGAAAAGCAACAAAAATAAATAAATGAACAGAATCATCACAGTCTGACCCCTTCAGGTTTTAATGCATTTGTCAGCAGAAAGTAGAGTCAACATCCAGCCTTATAAAATATCAGGTAAATATAAAAGCTAAAACAATATAATTTAGATTTCTGCTCTCACATCAAAAACTGAAGCATACATGTCTGTGAGTGTTTACTGCAGAGATCCTTTTGTACCTCAACTGAACTGATTTCTTTCTTTTCTATATCCTTCAAAATTATAAAAGCCTCTCTTAAGAAGCTGTTAGTGCAGTGCATCTGGGAGCTGTGTGTCACACCAATGCTACTGTATGTTCATGCAAAATACACTAATGAATAATGATCCCATACCCAAAAGAATGTTAATTCACATGTGTCGCAACAACAGGCCAGTTAGCTTGCACAATAACCAGTTAATGGCTTTAAACAGGAAAGTCTGGCTTCATAATCATTCATCTCATCATTGCAGTAGCAGCAGTAATTTAGACCACAAGGAAAATGAGCAGCTGGGAATGGTCAACACATGACTGGTTTTTCGGTTACAGAGACTAAATCACCACATACTCAGACTCAACATTCAGAGCTTCAAAATCTAGTGGATGATTAAATAAGACAGCACTTAAAGAAGCCACCACCCTCAGGAAAGAGTCCATCTTTTAGGTGGTGCCTCTGTAGGCTTTGGAGCAGTGAATTATGTCGTTTATCTCACTGCAGAAGATTGATATACTGATAATTATGCCATCTTGATAGCATCCAATCCAATCCAATCCAAGTTTATTTATAAAGCACATTAAAAAACAACAAAGCGCTGACCAAAGTGATGTACAGTAAAATTAAAAACAATAGAAACAGACAATTAACGGGAAAACTGAGAACCATCCAGGTTTTAATGTCCCTCAGACAGTCCAACAGTCAGAGTCACATACAGCTGCGAATCATCAGCATAGAAATGATAAGAAATGTTTTTTAAATATAGATCCCAGGGGGAGTATATACATATATGTATATATATATATATATATATATATATATATACATATACATATATATGCATGTATAGCATGAACGTTACTGCCAGTGATTGACCTTTAACCTCTTCACCTCTACAAGACACTGCCATCTAACAAACATGTCCTTATATGGACATTCTGAGAGGGAGGGTAACCGTTACAGGAAGATTAGTAATACATGTGTAATAAGATAGATAAACAGATCACACTGACACTAAATCTCCCTGAGTGAAACCACATGTGCAGCTTTTCTCTTCACCCTCATCTCCATGTCTTCAGAAAGAAACCTCCACACCAAAGTTCCTGTCAGACTGACCTGTACCTACATCTTTATAACTAAATGAGTCAAACTAAACAGGCTGTTCGTGTTCTTTAACCAAACACTCTCTGTTTGATCGGTTATAACTCTGCTCTGAAACATGATATGAACATGACATGAATATGAAATATAAACCAGAGACTTTGGTCCTTAATCTGGTACACATTGTGTTTATATATGATGTCGTGATTCCAAGAAAAATATAAGGGTGTAAAAAGTGTGACAACACTCTCCTGTATGTCTCTGTTATATTAATAAATACCATCTATGACCAAAGACTATAAGGATTAAAGAAGAACCAAGTCCTGTACCTCAGCATTCATTAACCAGAAAACAAGAAGACGCCTCAGTGACCCAGAAAACAGTTGAAGGAGGTGTTTCCCTCTGGGTGAGATGAGAGAAGGTCTGTGGATCTGTGACCATTAAGGCTCCTTCATATTAACAAATATTAATTATATTAATAATACGGGGCTGTGGTCCGGCTTCAACATCTGACAGCAGTCAGGATAATAATCAGCTTCTATTGGCCTGATCATTGAGACTGCAGATATTCGCAGTTTTGGTTTCCTCATCGGTCAATAAAGAGAATCATCTCCTGAAAACTACTGATGGGACGTTTGAAGCCGAGGCTTCCAGGTGTATACCGAGAATAAAGGGGGCGTGTCTGACGAAGAGCCACTTACCACATGACCAGTTACAAACGAGGCCTCCATTACACAGGTAACGTGACTCGGTCATTTTGGTGTCATTTTTAAAAATAAAAACACGATAAAAACACAGAGCTCTGTGGGTTAGGTGGTAGTTTGGATTATAATCCGCAGTGGTCGTCGATGAAAGTAAAGGGTTAGTTCACTGCAGTAGAAGAAATGGTAGAACTAGTAGTTAGTATTAGAAGTAGTGTGAGTAGTAGTAGAAGTAAATACTATATATACTGTATATATATATATATATATATATATATATATATATATATATATATATATATATATATATATATATATATATATATATATATATATATATATATATATATATATATATATATATATATATATATATATATATATATATTATACTAAATACTATTATATACTGTGATAATATCCATCCATTCATTTTCTATCACTAATCTCTCTGAATGACTCGACTGTCACAGTTTAACTCTAACAACAGATGGGGGCGCTAGTGAGCACTGAATGAAACTTCGAGTAGTGAACCTTTGGGCAAAGACATGGGCTGGAATTAAGACTCACTGCTTCAGAAAGCTTCATTTGTGCATCACTCCTAAAACCAACTGTGTACAAACCAAGAATGACTTTAGGAGCAGAAATATCCGGAACGATCTCTGACATCCGGACAAAGTTCGGATCCTCGTCGACGTGCTGTACGGATTGTCTGTCTTTTAGTTGGACCTCCCACCTCCGGGTGAAGTTAAGCCATGCCCAGATAAATCACTCCCCCAGACTGCGAACCTGCACACTGGGGCTGGAGACTGAAGTGGGGAGGACTTTCGGGGAGGGAAGAGGACGTTATTACTTCAAGTTTGCACTGGAACCAACATTTTCCCTTCCCCGGGGAAACGAAGTTTGCTCAAGGAGCAGCTGAACCTGCGCCCTGACTCCAAAAAGACAAAAAAAAGAGAGTAAAAACAAGAAGAGTGTTTTCCTTTCAGAAGAATGTCAGGCAGCACCTTAGTCAGGGTGCTTGTTGCTCTGTGTATCGGGAGTGCGGTGAACTGCATGCCCAAAGGGACGCAGAGGAACCGGCGACAATCTCAGCAGCATCAGGTCTCATCAGTGTCTCAGGGTGAGTTTGATTTTTACACCTAAAAAAATCAGGATGTTAGAGATGATGTCAGGAACAGGGAACTCTGTCATATGTTGGGCAGAAGTTCCGATTCTTTGGGGGAGAAAGTGCAGAGTTTTAACAACCTTTTTAATAGATAATTATTTCTCTCTGTTTGCTGATGTAAGACTAAAGATAAAAGCAGACATCCTTTTTCTGTTAACGCCTCAGAACTCAAAGCTGCTGTGGTTTTGATTTGGAGTCTTTAACCCCAGCATCAGTTTGGTCTCATACATTTCTGCTTCTGATCAAAGCTTCATGGAACAAAGAAATAAAACTTTTGGAAAAACAAAAGTGAATTAAAAGTCTTGAGATCTGAACAAAGAAAGTTTCCGTCTGGTGGGAGAGAGAGAGAAAACAGTGTGGAGAGTCTGCAGCTGATTTACTGCTCAGTCTGAGGATCTTTGAAGTGAATTTTACACATTTACAGTCAGTTTCACAGACATGAGTGAAGTCCTGACCCACAATACCATGTTTATTCAGTGGTAAAGCTTCGGTCTTTGGTCTTAGGTCACTTCTTTAACATTAAAACAGACGGTGTAGCAATTCTTTACAGTTACTCTCAGAACTCCTTTAGTTCTGACACTGTACTGTGTTTGTGTGTGTGTGTGTGTGTTTTACAGTGGATTTCTCTTGTGTTGTTTCTGCTATCAGATGGTTGCATAGAGAACGGTCAGTTCTATGGTATTAACAACCAGTGGGAAAGACCATATTTGGGCAGCACCCTGATCTGTACCTGCCATGGAGTTGCTGGCATTAAGTGCAAAAGCAAACCTGAAGGTAAGTGTGTGTGTGTGTGTGTGTGTGTGTGTGTGTGTGTGTGTGTGTGCGTGCGTGTGTGTGTGCGTGTGTTTGTGTCTGTGTATTTTTGCATCTTCACCTATGTAACCTCCTTTTTGACACGTGTCTCACTAAAGCAGAGGAAAGGTGCTTCGATAAGGTCAACCAGCAGTACTACACTGTGGGTGAAACCTATGAGAGACCGAAGGACGGCATGATCTGGGACTGTACCTGTATCGGCTCTGGGAGGGGCAAGATCAGCTGCACCATTGCCAGTAAGTTGTTTTTGTTTTCTCTGCTTCATTAACTGTTTTAATCCCAGAACACTCGTCCTAGTTCACATGTCTCTGTGTATTTCCTGGTTTCACAGTAAACTGCTTCATCTCCATAGTCTCCACAGCTGGTTAGCAGCTAGTGAAGGACAGCTGTGAGCAGTTAGCTGGTGAAAATGAATAATAGGAGAAATGTCTGAGGGTTTTTTTCCTTTCCTTCAAACCCTTAAATGCACATTTATCCCTCTCAAAACCCCTTTTCTCTTTGTCTTCCCAGACCGCTGTCATGAGGGAGGGGCTTCGTATAAGATTGGTGACACCTGGAGGAGACCCCATGAGACAGGAGGTTACATGTTGGAGTGTGTCTGTCTGGGTAATGGAAAGGGAGAATGGACCTGCAAACCAGTCGGTGAGTCACTGTGACAGCTAAGGTTCAACAGACGACTGTTTAAGACGAGCAGACGAGAAAAATGTCTGAACTTTTATAAAAACACCAGAATAATTCAGGATGATAGATTATCATTATGTTTTCTTAAGGAAATGTCTGTTTAATGCGAAACACTTTGACATGAGTGACTGTGTGCTGCAGCTGAGCGTTGCTATGACAACTCTGCGGGAACATCATATGTTGTTGGAGAGACATATGAGAAGCCGTACCAGGGATGGATGATGATTGACTGCACCTGTCTGGGAGAAGGAAGTGGACGAATCACATGCACCTCCAGAAGTAAGACGCCATGTTTGTTTTTTAAGTCCGACTATGAGCCGCCCTTTTCTTTACCTTTAGTGTCCATCATGTCTGTTCCACAAAACCTGGTCCCTAAAGAACATTCTCATGATAAATAATGTTGGGGTTAAAAAAAACATGTATGTGAAGTGACTCTATTATTTATTCCATTTAAAAGTACGAAACTGTTCTTTTTTGTCTTTGTATTGTCGAGTTCTACAAATGTCACTTTACCTGAACACAGATTTGGAAAACTGGGTCATCTAAGGCGACAGAAATCAAGCTGGTCAGCAGCTCTGATGTCAATACTCTGATCGATCTTTTGGAAAGTGTCTTGGGAAAACGATGGTTGTGATTTGGCGCTACAAAAGTAAAACCTGATTGATTGATTGTCATCGTCGGTGAAGATAGAAACTCTCTCTGGATGTTTTAAGTGAATGCAGTCTGTGATTTGTTGAAGCGTTTGAACAGGCTGTAAATAAAAGGGTTCCCAGTTGTGTTTCCTGTTAGAACCGTTTCCTAAACTCCTTCATGATGTTTTTAAATTAACGTCATTCACCGTCGACTCTTCGTTGCTTGTAAGACTTCAGGGTGGCCGTGGACATTTTAGTCCTGGAGGTTCATCGACGCGTTTTCATGGAGCAAATGTTTAAAAAGTTTTCAACAGAGTCAAACTGAACAAACATACAAACAGCTGGTGGTCAGGAGGAGGCGCTGCAGAGATCTGCACAATAAACAAATCAAACTTTTATTAGTCCTCTCAGACAAAGCTGTTCTGTTGAATGAAGAGATAAATTACAGTTTTATGTTGTTGTTGCTTGGACTCCGATCAGATCTTGTGAAAAGCATCAAGAAGTCGCCGTAGAGACTTCTTGAACAACCTTTGAATAACCAAACCTCGTCCATTTCTCTGACTCCTTCTTCTGCCAGATCGCTGTAACGACCAGGATACTTTGTCCTCTTACCGTATTGGAGATACCTGGACCAAAACAGACGCCCAAGGACACCTGCTTCAGTGTCTCTGCACAGGGAACGGCCGAGGGGAATGGAAGTGTGAGAGACATGCTTCTCTTCACACAACTGGCCTGGGTGAGAAATGATAAAATCCCCGTCGCTCGTTCTGTCTGTGAGGAGAGAAAAACGTTTACCAGAGACAGATGTGGTGCGGGGGGAGAGATAAGAAGTGCCAAGTGTCCGAGTGTTGAAGTGAGAAAAAGCTTTCATGATTATGACTTTACGTAATGGAGCCTAGCAACAGGGAAATAAAGAGGGAGCAATGAATCATGGGAAGTTTGTGAGACGTTTTCCTTTTGTTGCACAGAGAAAGTAAAGTGAACTAGATGGAAAACTTAAAGTTCATGAAATAAAGTTCCTTTTGTTTATTAAATATCTATTAAATATCCAAGTTTAAAAAAAGATTTGGTGTAAGGATCGTTCTTTCTTTATCATAACTATGTTTCATTTGACTGATCATTTCATTCCAGGCACCGGTTCTCGAGTTATCACCAACATCCAGCCCGCTGTCTACCAGCCCGCCACGGTGTCTGAGTCTCCTCAGGACGGACCCTGCAAGACAGAGACAGGACTGTCATACTTCATTGGCCAGCGCTGGATCAGGAACCAGGGGTCCAAGCAGATGATCTGTACTTGTCTGGGCAATGGTGTCAGCTGTGAACAGTTTGGTAAGAGACGAAAACATGTGTGTGGAAGTGTCTGAGATCATGGGCTCTTGGTCATCCTCCTGCTGTCTCCAAACAGACGGACCAGCTCCAGTGTACGGAGGAAACTCAGGAGGGCAGCCCTGTGTGTTTCCCTTTGTGTACAAGGGGAAGACCTACCACTCCTGTACCTCAGACGGACGGGCTGATGGACAGCTGTGGTGCTCCACCTCTTCTGACTTTGAGAAGGACCAGAAATATTCCTTCTGTACTGAGAAGAACGGTGAGCTGATACTGCAAATGTGATCAAACTGGAGAAGTGTGCAGAAACTTTGAAAAGATGAAACCATTTATTTCTTTGTGACAAACTGAGAAAAGATCATAAACCTGAAAATGTTGTCAGCTGATGAACGATTTCATCTACAGTCTCTGCAGTTTCTGCTCTCTGTTGGATAAACATTTGCTCTTTTTAAGATAATTCTTTATTCATCCCATGGTGAGGAAATTTGCCGTGTTAGAGCAGCGAAGGATAAGCACAGCAAACATAAGAGAACAAGTTCACCTTCTCTACCCTCACAGCTAATTTGAGGCCTTAAAAAGTCTGAGACACGGTTTCAGGTTTGATATTTGAGGATAAAGACGAACATTAGTTACCGTCTTCATACAGCAGCTCAGTCTGCACAGAAACATCAGCCATGTTTACATATTTATATGAAAACTGAACTTTCTTTTCAGAGACACACAGTGGACAGTTTGACGGTTTTAAGTACCTGGTCTGTGAACACGAGCGTCTCCTGGTTATTTGTGAAGACTAAGTCTTGTGTTGCTGTTTGGGCTCCTTCTGTCTTCTGGGATATTTTTTCTTTTCTACTTTGGTTTGAGTGTCTGACCTCTCTGACAGATCATTACAGGAGGAACCTGTAGTCTCCTAACAAACAATGAATCCTGTTTTCAGACAGAGATTCTCCTGCAGGATAAAAATTTCATTAAACAGGGTTTGAGTTTGTTTTTTTTTTGTTTTCAACAGTAATTTTAGCGACACGTGGCGGCAACTCTAATGGTGCTCTGTGCAAGTTCCCCTTCCTCTACAACGGCAGAAACTATACCGACTGTACTGCAGATGGACGTAGAGATGGCATGAAGTGGTGTGGCACCACCACAAACTATGATGGAGAACATCGTTTTGGCTTCTGTCCCATGGCGGGTAAGTTTGCTTGTGTGTTTTTGTGTATCTGTGATGGATGGAAGAAAAGGTCTAGGCCCAGAACATTCTGTTTAATATCAAGAACTTCAAAAACTCCAGTTTTCAAACATTTGTTTACAAGACAGTCGAGTTTCTGGATAAGGTGAGACTCGAAATCATGAAACTACCAAAGGTCAAAGGTTACTTTGAGACAAATGTGTTCAGATATTTTACTATGTAGTGACATGAATTTGTCCAAAACTATTATTTCAACCTTGCTATAGTATGTCTCAAAAATGGTAAAGTGTTTATATTCTATTGGACATGTTTGCACAGATGCAGATCAGCCTGATAGTTAGGGTTAGTTACTGTAAGGAGACTAACATGATGAACAGATGACAGTGTCCCACCCTGACGTAACTAAGACGTGTCTCAGATCAATGGGGGACATTACCGTGATAACAAAAGAACTCTGGGTAACTTCGTTAGCATAAAGCTATTATCAGAGTGCTGTTAGCCCGGGCGAATCCTCAGACTAAATCTCATTTACAGTTAGCACCTTTCATCATTGGCTCGTTCACTTTCAAGTCACTGTGGGGTCGTGTTGTTAAGGTGTCAATCAGGTCCTCAGGGGTAACAAAAGAGAACAACAGCAGTAAAACAGCAGGGGGTCACTGCCTTTCTGTCTGAGTCCAGGTGAGGAAATGGTAATGGTGACACAGTGATGTTAAATCAGAGAAATACAGGAACCCCTGAGATGAAGAAGAACTTTATTAACTTTATTTTATTTTTCTTCTCCTTTTTTTCCTTTTCTAAATTTGTTCTTAATTATAACATTTAAGTTCTTAATATAATGATCTCTATTAATATAAATGCATTTTTGCACTATTTTTGTCTGTGATGCTGCTGTGACAAAAAACTTTCCCCCATGGGGGATCAATAAAGGAAAATTCTATTCTATTGATTCAAATTCAGTAATTTCAGAGCTATAAAAATATCTTACAAACTTGAGAGGAAATAACTCCAATAAAAAAACGGTCTGGTATGAAGTGAAAAAATCTCAGCAGAGTTCTTTTAAAAAGTGAGTGAAATAAAGACTGAATCGAACCACAGGCCGTTTTACCGATCTGGATTCATTTGTTTTTGTCTTGAACTTGTCGGTTGTAGTTTTTATGCAGTTTGAAAATAAGTGATCCTTTAGAAAAGTTCCTTTGAGAGTTGTTTGAACATTTAGGTTTTTGTTGTAAACTTATTAAGTTCACAGTTAAAAATGGATCATGAAGTGTTCTTACTCTACCAGGCTGCAACATCCTGTTGTTGGAAACAGATTTGAGAGACCGGTGGTCTTCAGACGGTCTGTGGTAAACCTCATACAGACTAACCCTGCAGGGGGGGCTCAGATATTGACATTAATGACTTCACAGGCATCGTCAAAACAATGAGGGTACTTAACATGTTAATGATCATACTTCAACATCAGTCACAGTCTGGAGCTCCTTCTTCTCTTCTTAGACAGACGGTCAGATAAGCTTATCTTCTGTCTGTAATAGAAGTACGACTGTTTCCAGCTGTGAGACATATTCAGAGTTTACATTCACCGTCCTTACAGATGATTCTTCACCTGAAGAACCTTTTAATGTTGGGGCTGTTTTTCAGAGTTCATAAATGTAGAGCAGCTGTTTCAGGTCAAAACAGTTTTAATCATTTGGCATCATTCGCTCAAAAATAAAGAAATTGAATTGAAAAAGATAATTATTGGTTGGTTGAAACTTGGTTAAGTTGAGGACACAGATGTACGTCGACAGCTTTTGTAATTGCAGGGTTTTTCCTGGCTCAAATTGAGGCAGAGGTGGCACCATCCTGACCATGCGCCATGACGTGCATGTATTTGTAAATTCAACTGACTCACTTTCTTTTACAGGCAACATACTTTAAGTTAAGAGTTCAAAAAAAGAGTGTGACCATTATCATGTTAAAGCATTCATTTATTAAAACTATATACATACACAAATCAGCTGGCAACTTTAAATTGAAAGTACACTTCATCCACACATCTCACAACCAGACAGAACATTTCAGCCTCCTCTCTTTCATTCTGTAGAACCTCCTCATGCACTCCTTGTAGTCCAAGGCCTCCTGGTCTGGTCCATCAACGGCCACCTTACAACAGACATCCAAGTGCCTCTCCTTCAGTCTGTTCCACAGAGGTGTCTTCACCTTAAACAAAACAATTCATCATGCATTAAGTATTTTTGTTTTTATTCTGATACAGACATGAAGAGTGATAGTGTTTTAATCATATATTATATATATGTATACGCTGCAGTGTCCTCCCTAAAAAAACGACAACCAATTATTTCTTAAACTATCTAAACTATGTTTTTTTTTTTTTTTTTGTAACTTTATTAGTTGAATTTTTTTAGGTACTTTTTAATATACTTCTCCTTCTCTTCTGCTGCTTTGTGAATGGCTGTCACCTCATGTCTTTTTAATGTGTCCAGCCTGTAGTTGGTTGATGGCTGTCTCACTAAGTAGGCAGCAATTGCCTGCTGTGTTGGGGCACAGTGCTTTTGGCATAAACAGCAGTGCATGCCTTCCTCAGTATGCCTGAGCCAGGTAAATTGATTGAGCCACTGCTTGTCAAAGCCACTGGCTCTGTGTTTTTGAGAAGATCTAGACAGAGGAATAAAAACCACGTACACGTTGGTTTTGCGTTGTTATGCTCCTAATTGGAAACTAATTAATTAATTACCCTCACCTCGCCGACTCGTCCTGTCCTGCATTCTGACCCTCGCGATCACCAGTCCCTTGTGAAGTACTTTCAGACCTGACACAAATGTCCACGTTGTCCCCACCATGAGTTATAGCATTTTAACTGCCTGTTACGTTTTTTCTCTGCTGTGTTTCACCTGGACTCTTGACTTTCCTCCTCGCGAGGTCGCTTTTTAAAGTACTGGCTGATTTTGCCTGTCATATCTGCAACGCTAAAAAAACGGAGGAAACTTTTTTTTTTTAATAAACACGTCATGCTTGGATGCAAAAAAGACAAGCAGTATTTACCTGTTTGTACCAGCCGCCGGGGAAAATCAGGACGCCGATAGCACCAACTAGCGGGAAAAAAAACTTGAAAAAACATGATTCGATCCGTTTCTTCTTCGGTAGATGCTTCAGGTCTTTCCGGTGCACTGCTGTTGATATAGCGCTTCTATAGTGGCGCAACGCTGCAACTGCAGCTAAAATACGTTGCTGCTGCAGAGGGACATCATACACTCAATCAACACAGCTGGAGCTTTACGCTGTGTTGAGCGAAATCAATCGCTCTGGCTGGGGGCGGCACAAAATTAGGTGGAGGCGGCCGCCACGCAATTTTGAACGCAGGAAAAACCCTGTAATTGGATTGAAAAAAGACTAAAGAATGTCTTCGTTATAAAAAGGAGGAGATCTCCCTCCAGCTACAGACAGATGGAAAGAATGTGTTAAATCTAACGTGAACCAGCCGTCCAATCATTATTCTGAGGATGGCCAAGCTCAACACAAAGACGACTTTGAGAGTATTGAAGGGTAAAAAATTCACAAGATCTGCACAATTCTGAGACCACTTTAATGTCCAAAATCTACTAAAAACCAACGGTCATCAGAGCTGGTTTTATAAAGTATTTTAGAATAAAGATTTTTATTTCCCTCACAACCGTCTCTGAAACGGTCTCTAGGTCTGTTTTTTCCTCTTTACCGTTCCGTCATATTTTTAACGATGACTGGTTCTCCTGTTTCTACCAGCCCAAGAGGAAGTATGCACCAGTACTGAAGGGGTGATGTATCGTGTGGGAGACCAGTGGGACAAACGCCATGATGTTCTGGGTCACATGATGAGATGCACCTGCGTTGGTAACGGCCGAGGAGAATGGAGCTGCGCTGCTTACTCTCAGATTAAAGGTTAGTGACGCGGAGAAACACGGAGATTATGTAGTCACAAGAAAGACGACAGAGTGACACGTCAAAGTGGAGTGATAATCTCACACACACACACACACACACACACACACACACACACACACACACACACACACACACACACACACACACACACGTGCACATATTGACCTGTACTTTAAAACATCCCTTTATTCTTGTGTTTGTGTTACAGATCAGTGTATTGTGGATAATCTGACCTTTGAAGTGAACCAAACCTTCACCAAACAACATGACGAAGGCTACATGATGAACTGCACGTGCTTCGGTCAAGGCCGTGGCCGCTGGAAGTGCGATGCTATTGGTCAGTTGAAGTTGTTGCATGTGTGTCACTTTGTCAGTTTCCTCTTAAACAAACAAAATTACATTGAAATGTCATTAACTGAACTCTACTGGACTGAAGGTTAAGGGAATGGTAAAGAGAAAAGAATCACACCAGAATATAAATACTGTTTGTGTAATAATATTATATCATATTATTAATATTAATAATATATCATATTATTAATATTAATAATATATCATATTAATAATATATCATATTATTAATATTAATAATAATATTTGGAGGGAGCAGCGTTTAGAGACGTTCCTAATGTGTCTGCGTCCACAGACCAGTGCCAGGAGCCAGAGACGAGAGCCTTCTATCAGATCGGAGAG